ACAAGCCGGGCCGGGCTCGGGCCGGCCTGGGCCCGTGCAGTGCTCTACTTCGGCTAGTAATGAATGTTTACTTTTAATGTCTCCAAAAAGACATTGAGACATTCGACAAATGTACAGTGCTGTAGGCGTTGCCGAGCAATTCTAGAAAACTGCCTGCCCCCGTTTTACTAGTTCCCAGTGTGCCAGATTTTCATAAAAAGTAAGCAAACGTAAAACAAAAAATTGCAAGCGTCTCGGCTGCTGCCTTTGTTGCGCAATCGTGTTCGCATGCACATGAGGGCAACTTTGGCAGGCTTACAGTTGCACGTGCTTCGTCACATGAGCGGAGACGGCTGTTCGATCCAAACCGAAACCATGCCACTCCGTTCCGTCGCCAACTGGTTACCAAAATTATATGCAAAATTTAACCGTCCAGCATACGACAAAAAACAGTTTGGTGGCATGTGCTTGCTAGGTCGGCAGGCGAGGTACAAGCTAAACACACAGAAGAAAAAAAACACCTGAGCGCACCGATGCAAGACACTGCAAGTTAGGGTCAAAAACTTTGTGGAGCGCTTTGTGCAACGACTGAACATGAGACAAACACGTGCGCTGTGCGGGTTCAGCGTGCAGATATTGCCTTCTTTGCTTTAGCTCACTTCTCTTCAACAACTTTCTTTCATTGCCGATTCTTCACGTACCGGGTCCCTCTCAAAAGGAAGCCCACCAAAAGAAACATAGGTAGTCAATACTTCGACATAGCAGTCTTTGAGTTAAAAGGAATTTTTGTAGTAGCATTCGATTTAAACAAGAACAGGAATGTTGATGAACATGCGGCAGTCTTTACGTTTCAGTTTAAAAAGCGCTGTATCCGCAGCGACGTGGGGATGGCAACACCCGACGTCGAGCGACCACTTTGAGTGGCAGGCGGGGCCCAAAAATAGTTTTCCCACGGCTGTTGCTTTCAGGAGCGAGTGCTTCAGCTCACAAAGTAACTCCCACCACGCAAAAACTTGATTTCGTTTCGCAGCATGACGGCATGGCTGGTACCTGGCACGCTAGCGTTGCAGCGACCGCACAAAGCCACATCTATCGTTGAAACTTTTTAAGAAAGACGCGAGACGGGACCCACGGGATGAGGAGAGTGCGAAACGAGAGAAGGCAGGAAAAGCCATGCAAGACAGGATGGACGATTGATGCAGGATACTTTGTGTTAGGCGGCCGCTTGTGCCACCTAGCTCATGCTACTCGATTACGGTACTCAGTTTAGTTTCGGTTTAGAAAGGCGACCGAAATTGGTCCTTTGGCGCAGGCTCTGCAGAGACTAGCCATATTTTGGCAAAATGTAGCAAGATGTAGCAGGGTTGGCAGTTTGGCGCAATTGGCGCTGCAATAATATCACTGCAAAGGTTCACAAAAGCACAGTTAACGTATTGCCTACTCCACACCTTGCCATAACTGCTGGTTGTACTGCACTGTACGATGGTAACTGGAAACTGGACGACCGAATGGCCTCCATTTGCAATCTATGGCCTCATTGCATTCTCGCGCGTGTGCAGACATTTGCTGAACCTTCGCCAAAAGTTCGGCATGTGCCGAACTTTGCCGAATATGAAGTTCGGCAGATTCGGTCCATTACTAGTTTTACAGCGCAGCTCTTAGGCGCCTGTTTACAACTTGAGCAGCATCACCGTCAACGTAAGCGCACTTCGCATTATGGGGCATTTCCCATAAGGACGTCACACAAGACGTCATGTGTGACATTACGAAGGTCACAAGTAGAGCCCTGCATATCCGCAAATTATCTGCGAATATCCGCAGATATCCACAGTAAACTGGCAGATTCGGATAAAAATTAATCAGATTTGGCGGATTGCCGATCAGATGCGGATGCCAGGGGCTGCGGATGCGGATCGAATATCCGCGGGTCCAGGTCTGTTTTTGCCGAGGCGACCTACAAACGTGTGCGACCGTACAGTGTAGAGTGAATGAGGGAGTGATACTATGAAGTGTATGAGCGAATGTATTGCGGAGGAAAAATACTGTTAGATTAAAGGTGCCAATCGGGGAGAAAATTGTTCTTTATGCCAATAACGATTGCTTTAAAACGTTCTATCTCGCCAAAAATACTGTCCCTAGAAAAAGTAAAGAATGCAGGAGCATCAGTCGTCCCAGGGAAGCGTGTTCTTCTTTGGCAGGGAAAGAGCAGAAAACATTCTTTGGGCAAAGAAAACTAAAACGTACAAGCCACAAGGAAGTAGAAGAAACCTGCAAGTGGCTTCTTCACCTACAAGTATATATTGAGCAGACTGAATTCAATCCTCTGAAACGGTGGAACTTGCGCCAGCATGAGTTTCCGTACCTCATTCTTGTGGCACAGATTGTGCATACTATCCCAGCATCATGTGCACCAACGAAGAAAGACTTCTCACTAGCGAGTATTAATTTAAGAGAGGAGAACCAGTCTGAATCCGTCTGAGTTGACAATATTCTGTTTCCTCTACACAACAACCTCGACAAGTGAAATGTTGCGTGTGTGTGCGTTTTATTTTTGTCGACAGTTGGCACCGAGTTATTTTTAAGTATACAATTCCGAGCATGCAGTTGAGGGTTCAAGTTTAAAACTGAAACTGATAGGAGGTGTTGCCATTATTCAATATTGCGATATTTTCCCAGTAGTGTACTCGCGCCTTACCACATATATACAAGTATACTTTTCTGTGCTGAGTGAGTGCCTTTTCTCTCCAACTTTTTTATTGTTTGGCCAAAAAGATAATACAATGTTATTAGTCTGTCCTTTGACAATGTTCATGTTTCTAAAATATGCGTCTGCTTGAAGTGGGTTCTACAAAGCAAAAAGGAAAACAAATTTGAATTATCTTCTTTATGAACGCATATACTGGACAGAGCGTCAGTGTCACGGACTCCCAAGAAGATCTAATAACTGCGACCATCTTTCGAGCGATGCAAAGTGTCCCTGGGAGGATGATAATTTATTTTATAAATATGATCAAACAGAATACGATAAAATGACTCACCGTATTCTTAGACGAAGAGTTCTTTGTACAAAGGTAACCAGACAACTTATAGAATACCATCCAGACTTTTTTTTTTTTAAGGTTTATTAATGCTTGATTTTATTATGTAAAATGAATGCACGGATTGAGTCGGATACATTTCCGAATTCTGCGGATGCAGTTCAGATACAGATACAAATATTTAAGAACATTGCAGATGCGGATCGGATGTGGATACGAAGTCTGCAAATGCGGATCGGATGATCAAATTGTTACCCGTGCAGGGCTCTAGTCAGAAGTGAGGTCACTTAACGGGAAAATTTCTCCGCTAAATTTCCCCAAAACGTTTGCCAAAAAAATGTTTCCGCTAAATTTGACAGAAGAATTTGCCCGACAAATTTAGCAGGCAAATTTTCCTGTTAAGTTCAGTGGAAAAATTCCCCACTAAATTTAGCGGAAACAACCGCATGGCATCCATTTGCAATCCATGGCCCCGTCGCGTTCTTACGCGTGCGCAGAAATTTGCCGAATTTTCGCCAAAGTGTTTGGCACATGCCGAATCAAAGTTTGGCACATGTCAAACTTTGCCGAATTTTAAGTTTGACAGATTCAGTCCATCACTAATTATTATTGAGCTGTCTCCGCGTCGCCACCATTTGTTTAGTCAAAACTGTGCCACTGATGCCACCGTCATAAATATTTAACTGACTTTGTGTTGCCACCCAGAAGGCGGCGCGGCTCACAGTACATTACGCCGAACCGTTTTCCAATGAACCCGTAACCGCCCCATGAAATTACAATTCCATTCGGGTTCAATATTAAATGCTTGATTTTGGCTACAGCTTAGTTCCAGTTCAGTCAAAAATAATGTTTTTATTGCTGCTCTGGGCTTTGGTTCGGTTCAACACCCTGGTTTATAAACATGTCGCCATCCATAAGCGTCAATTTGTCTCGCCAAAGCACTCCCATGCTTGTACACTGCGGGACACTGCTAGCATGAAAAGGCACTTGTTTTTTTCGTTTATCTCTCAGCCTCAAAGGACTGCACCCAAAACTACTAGTGTGGCAGAAAGTGCTGATTTTATAACACTAACCTAAGGGATTAAATTTGGTGCACAGCAATACCCTTTCGAGGTCAAATGGGAAAAAACAATAATGTGGTGTTTTTGCAAACAGCGTTGTGCAGTATACATGAGGACGTGTGTAAGACAATACTAAACAGAAGGAACATTATGAAGACACCGAATATACCCAAACTATCCCCACTCTACAACCCTATGCTGTTTTTGCTCTTGAGCACTAACTTAGTCCTGTATCAATGTAGAACATTATTTCAGGACACTACAATGATGAGACATGAGCCTTAACCCAAATATCCACTTAGGATAGATTGCACCCTAGTTCAAGTCTAGCACTGATGCTAATCCCGTGTCCGATCTAATGGTCCCATTCGGTTGACATAATCGAGGGGTGATCGCCAGAAAAGTTTACGACCTCAATCACCCCAGCTACGTCAACAAGCTTTGTGCAAACGACATGGAAGGAAATAGACCATTTCTATTCTTTTAATTAGAGGCGACGAAGACCCTAGCTCAGTAGAGTCGCATGTTAGTATACTTGTGTCAGTATGCTTATATAAAGTGCATCAAATTCTAAAAAATAATTTCATGGTCCCTTTAATAACCATACAATAAAAAAATAATTTTTTTTTTAGAACTTGCACTGCAAATTATTTTGGGAATGACTTTCACACAGTTGGAGTTGCCAAATAAACTGGATGCACAGCAAGAAAGCATGATGCCCTCTATCTAGCCACAGAATTTTGAGCCCAAATGTTATGGCACTTCACTCAAAAAGGTTCATTCCCTCTAATCTTGTAATGACTTTAGAAGCACTGGAAGAGCAAAGCCGGCACTGAGTGCCATAATAAGACACCCAAAGAGACAATATATCAAAGTGCAGAGAGAGAGAAAAAAAAAGTGTGTTCTGAAAAGAAGTCTTCACCTGTTTTGTCACAATGAATCTGCAGAAGCAATCCCATATTCTCTCGGGGAAATGCAATCCACGTAATGAGCGGTTCTGTGACGTTGAATGTCAGCCACCCGTGGCTCTTGTCATCGATTGTCAGATTGTCCACGGGTTCGAGAATGATGTCTCTGCAACGAAAGACAAAATTTAAATGTTAAAAGAGTTAAAAATGAGGCTGGAAAAAAAAATACTCTCATCACAAACCCCCCACAGGTAACTTCACAGTGTCGGCTGAGGTTTCAGCTGACATGTAACATCGATAAAAAAAACACTATTAGTTTTTAAAGTTTGCTTGGTAAAAACAAACTCATTGCAACACCGTCCAAACAAATGCCAAAAGGGGGGAGGTCCTTTGCCTTTAAGACTACAGCAGCCTTCAACATTTGGTGTTGCGACAATAAGGAGCAAATTCCCAAATAAACTTTAAACTATCTGCAACATAAATTTAAAAAATTGCTCTCCCTTACACCAACATAGACCAACACGCGGCTCTAACGTCATGCCACCGAGGTGGCACCACCATCAGCATAGTGTACCTACAGACACTGTATCTCCTGCGGAGCCAACTTTTGCCCAGGCACAGTGCCCGCACCAGGTGTGAACAAACAGGAGCTCATCTGTAAGCAGTGCATCGGCCCAAACTACAAGAGTACCGATGCATTTGGTTAAAAGAACGAGAAAGAGCTCAACCATTTCTCTAAAATATTTCAATAAACAAAAAAACTAGTCTCAAGATTAAGAAAACAAAAAAAAGAGAAAAAAAAAAATGACTTCCACTTGAAGTGTTACGTCGTTGCCTGCCTCGATCCTGGCAGGGCGGCCGAGGTAGAGACTGCAAACGCCCGTTTTGCCGTAAAGCGCTCTCCAGCTTGAAGGTTTGCGCAAGCGCCGGCGGCAAGAAGTTAAAATGCCACCACAACGTTGATGCTCGGTCATACTTTGTGCCCCACCTTCTACGATTCACCGCCAGAGTCATGACATCCGACGGCATGATGGACCGGCTAGTGCGTGTCGTCTGTTGCCACCTGGGGACCTCTTTCGACGGGTGGACGGCATGCAGAGTGCAAGTTCATCTGCTTCTCGCGGAAGAGTCGCGGTGACATCAAAACGACGCCGAGCTCCAATTGGCTTTGATCGAAAGGCTAGTGGGTATGGCCTGAGTGCTAGATGCCTCAAGGTCTACCCACTATACTTTTTTTCCAATTAGCCAATAAGAGCTTTGCATTCTGACAAACCCCTGTGTGAAAAGCAGACGCACCTACGCTGCGTAGGCGGAGTGCAAGTTCGTCTGCTTTTTCTGCGGGGGTTGTTGCAACGCCAGAACGCCGAGCTCTGGTTGGGTGGATAGAGGGTAGACCCAATCAGAACACGGAGCTCTGATTGGGAAGCATAGTAGGTAAACCTCAAGGCCGCTTGCTTTGAGGTCTATGTACTATCCTTTAATTATAGCCAATCAGAGATCGGCGTTCTGACGTCACCATAACCCTTGCAAAAGAAGCAGACAAACTTGTGCTTCGCATGGGATGCCGGATGCACCGGTCAGAGACGCGCATCAGCCGCCGTAGCTTTGTCGGAAGCGTCGCAGGCTCGGGAATTTGTGGCACCTTGCTTACAAATCTCGGCCGAGAAAAAAAAGTCAGATGGCACCTACTCGATCTTGCTGCCGTGCCTGAGCACGTTGATCTGCAGGTTGCAGGAGTGGCCGACAGACGAGCTCCCCGCCTGGGCGTCCCTGTACAGGTTCAGCTCCGCCTTGATAATCCTCTCTTGCGGCGACACCTCGCTCACGTCGAACCAGAACCTCCTCTCGTTGTCGTGCCGTAGGTGCGGTGAATGGTGGTGCGCTGGAAGGTACAAAAAATTATGCTTGATTCCTCTCAATCCTACTAATAAATTCAGTGTACACAGAATGCATATTTGCGGCGTTCTTCACAATCTGCAGCAGACGTCGAAGTTTTTTTGTTTTTTGGTTTTTTGGTTACGACGCATTATTTTATTCCAAGCTCTGTCCTCCTTTTCATGTGATAATAAGCACATTTTGAATTTCTTGTTTTTTCCTATAAACCAGTGGTTCTCAAATGGGGGTTTACAGAGCCTTTGGGGTCCCCAAGGCCTTAGACCGTCGGTAAGCTGAGCAGTAAAACTTCTCTTTTTAATTGATACTGGTTAACCCTCAAAGCTAAATAGAACCAACCATGTACGGTGAGTGAGGATTGATTATTCTCCATTTCAGAGCTTCAAAGTTGGTTTGCATGCATCTAGTTTTCTTCACTTACACTTTTTTTATCGTAATTGTCCATTACCCTCTCCTCCCTTCCAGTTTATGGGATCAACCATCACTTCTGTTGATCCAGAAGAGGTCCCCGAAAGATTAGTGGTTGAGAACCACTGCCATGAACTGTTTGAATGCGAACGCCGGCATCCAGCAAATGGCGTTCGTGTTTGAAGAGTTGACGAAGGCCACCGTGGTAGGGACAGTCATCCAGCTTTGCATCCACCCACCGATTGGCACGGTTGTAGAATGTCGAGCTCACAATCAAAAGGCCATCAGTTCGATTCACGTCGAGGCACGTTTAGGATTTTGCTCTTTCTCCTCATTTTTTCACTTTTTGTAAAGATTCTCCCCGGAAGTATGTTGTTACACATTTCATAACTTTTCTTGGGGATCTCAGCCCTTCAGCCCGTTCTGCGCTGAAACTAATAAAACACTCAGCCGCTTTCTCATCGTGACAACAGCCGATCGGCACAGAAATTGATTCCAGGTGCGCAAAACTCTGAAGAGCTCTCCCGAATTTGGCACATTTTTCAGGCCCAGTATTGGTGCACGAGCGCAGCCAGGGGATGAATGTATGCTACCAGGGCAGAAACACTAAACACAATTTGGCAACTATGTGGAACTTATGCCATTCACCCGAGCACACAAAAAATCCAGCCAAAAAAATTCAGCTCAAAGCAACAAAACAAACATTGGATATGAAAGGGCACTGACACTCCAAAGGTCGTATTTATTTTTATTGTCTAAAACGATGCAAGTTGCAGTCATAGACACGCAAAAAAAAAAAGCATCGCAAAAAAAACATTTCCCGCGCGCGCCTTTTTATTTTTGGCGTTTGATTCTCCCGCCTCTCGCCTCCTCGCTTCTTTTGATTTGCGACGTCAAGAATCATGAAATTTAGAAGCTTTGTAGGCGACATCTTTATAACATTTAATAACGGCAATCCTAAAACATGTTTTTTAACGCAATTGCGAACGCACTACGGCCCTTCTTTTTGAAATACCAAAAGTCGGGAGTTCGTTGTGGTGCCGTCTCCGGGATTTGTATCCTCCAACGGAAAACAGGCGACACCGCTCAAAACTGGTCCGCCGCAATGCCGGCGCTCGCTCCTTTCCTCCTCGCTTTGGATTGCCATGGCAACAGCAGGGAGTGGTGAAAGAAAGTGGACTCTCAGGACTCCGCAATATTTGACGTCAAGGCACTGGAGCCGCTCGCGCGGGAACTTCGAATTCGGCATTTGGAAATTGTTTTTTTACTTCACAAATACTGAATTCCGAAATTTCAAATTTTGAGGGTAATGTCCCGGCATCGTTTTCAATCGTTTCGGATAATAAAAAAAAATATGATTTTAATGTGTCAGTGCCCCTTTAATCTCATCCCTACAAAAAAAGAAAGGTAACATGTAGCGGAATGTTTTAAAACAAAGTGCTGGCAATTTGCTGCTGGACTGAACCCTATGTCACAAAACATGTCCATAATGACACATTTTAGCTGTTTTCTCTTTGAAGCGGTGTGTTACCATGCAATCGCACCCAAAAAGTCTGTCTTTATCGGCCACACAAAACTAGAATGGAAACACTCCAAATGGTTGACCCCCTCATGCATGAATTATGACTATATCTAAAAAAAAGAATACTAAGTTGGGACGTTTATTTGAAACACATGCTAACTAAATAAAGTACTTTTTAACCTAAAATTATGATTTGCTAAAGCAGAACTGACACACACTCATTTGAGGACAACATGCATTCCAGTGGTCAAGTGATCTCATTTTTGGTGTTATAGAGTAATTTTTTTTAAATCAAAATGATTAGTGTATTTATGGTAGAACAGATTAGCACCACTTTATTTTTGTATTACACTACTAAACAAAATCCTGCAGCACTGGAGAATGAATGTGAATGTCTCATGATGCATGAAACCCTTCAAAACACATGGGGCAAAGTGGGACATCGCAACGCCCAGCACAGCATCGCAACGCTCAGCACGCTGCGACAGCACTGTGCTTGACATGAGCTGCGCTGCCGACGTCAAGGCTGTCTCCAAGTCGTCAGCTATGTCTAAAATTGCGTCAATTTCTTCCCTTGTGAGGGAAAACTTCCGTCTAGACTTTTTCATTCCACCGAAGATAATCCAGAGTAATACACAATTCAGAAGCGTACAAAGTCAATCTGTTTTGCGGGCAGAAGTCGAAAGTGAGTAAAGCCAAATGAGAGTAGTGTTGTAGCATGGTGTCCCCATTTGAGGACAGATACAGTGAGCATCAACAGAATGGAGAAAAATAATTTCTAAATTTTGACTGCTAATAATTCATTTACAGCTAAAAAAAATCTTAAATTTATTTCTGTTTCAATGTTCGGGCTCGTAAAAACAATTATTTACTTTGACGAACTGCTGCTTGGCGTGGGACGCCTTTTTTGTGGATCGTTGGGGCGCAGTCACGTGACAACGGGGATCCTGTGACCACATACATGCCTCTTTGCCCCCTCCTCTCCCTTACGGCTGAAAGTTCCTGTTTTTATTTTGATCATGTTTGTCCTCCTCTCCGGCGTTTCTCCCTCTCTGCTTTGCTCCCGTCGAAGCAGCCGTTTCATGGTTTCATTCTGTTCAGTTTCTGGTGGTGGTGTCAGTACCATGTTGACAATGTCACTTGTTGCATGCCTAAGAAGTTTCGGTCCTAGTTGGCAGTGGAAATGCCTTATTCAGCGTGTATGTGGGACTGGCTCGACAGTTGATACTTTCAGACGTGACGCGCCCGGCGGTGATGTTCTGAGCTCTTCCACATCATATCAGCACACGTCTCACTTAAAATTTTGAATCTACAACAAAGGCGAGCTGGATATTCCTCTGTCTTGCCTGTACTTAACAAATGTAAGTGTGTACACTTCGTAACACAGGAATTTGGCACGCTTTTCATGCCTCCATATTCTGCTAGTGAGTCTTCGTATGGTTACATTCTCGCTTTGCATCTGGCTCTCGCCTCGTTACTAACCAAGTTTCGTGAGTTTGTTGTTTAGTTTAGATTTTCTTTTCAGTTTGTGTATAACGAGTGGGTTAAATACAAAACGATTGGGATGTTAAATAAAAGGTGCATGCAAACATTGCCTCCTTGATGTTTCTCGACCGGTGCAAACGAACAAAGATTCTGGTGCAGTTTTTACAGGATACACATATTTTCCAACCAACTGCAAATTTCATGACACGGGATTCAGCTCCTTCGTCTATATAAAGACAGGAAGTAAATTATGAAAAGCAACCGTGCCATTTTCTGTAATGTTGGGCACAACCAAGCAAATGCTACGTGCGGCCTGATAGCTGATGGACTTTGAGAAGTTTTTTTTCATTCCACATCACATAAAAGGTCATAAAAATGCAGTCAACTGCACATTTGGTTTGTAAAGTGTGTGTTTAACCGCAACGGCAGAGAGGAGGTCAAACACAATCAAAATAAAAAGAGGAACTTTGGGCTGGCGGGGAAGGGGGGGGGGGGGGGGGGGAGAAAGAAAGGGGGCGAGGCAGCATGTAGGTGGTCACGTGCTCCCTGTTGTCACGTGACTGTGCCCTGACGACCTGCAAAAAAGGCGTCCCGCTTGGCGTTGCTCGGGAAGGAGGCAAAGTAGTATAAGCCTCCTGCTTTGCCCAGGAGGCGCTGCGGAAAAACCAGCTTGTAGCACCCCAATGATTTTTTTTTTTTATCAGTATTGGGTAGCACAAACTTCCGCATTGGAATTTGTCCCGCATTAAAACATTAGCCGGCAATATGAATTCTCCCCTTGCAGTTGTTTTACGGCACGGAATCAAGCCAATTTCTAACGTGGAAAGCTTCTTTCGTTCCTCAAAAGACGTTCCTCAACTCTTCACAAAGGAAAGAAACTCAGCAATGCATGCTACTGCAAGCTGCGTCTCAGTAGAAAAGAAGCTGCAACTTTGGTGTAGGCGCACTGCCACTCGCAAAAACAGCAAGCTTTCTATGATGTCGAGCTTGAGGTGAGCATTACGAGATAATGCACCTTGTAAGCAAAAACTCCTATACTGAAATCCCTCCGTACAGCCAACGCAATCAGTTGATTGGTGACCAACCTCAAAAATGTGTGGAAGCAGACGCATGCGATTGAGCGGCGACCGGCCGTCTGTCGACTGAGCAGATCCTACCTACTGCATGCAGCTTCTCAAGCTTTTGCAGCTTTTCTTGCACATTTACGTTAAAAGCTTGACGCAACATGAGATCAGTAGTAGGAGCTCCGCCTTCAGCACATGCTTCTTGCCCTTTATAGTGGGTTGGTGTGCATGCACGCTTGTCTTTTCAAAGGAGAGCTCCCGCTAGAGACTGCGCTCTTACTGCTGATCTCATGTTGCAAAGGATGTAGTTCAATCGAATCGCTCCACTGGTTCAACAGTATAGCGTGTTCCTCTTCGTAAAATTCGCATGACACACATTTTGATGCATGACACGGCCGCTTGATCGTGTGGCCGTGCTTAGCAGAACAACATGGAGGGCGACAAAAATAACTGTCTCGCTTACTCAGTGCGCTGGGCGGCTAGTATCGACTTGATATGGTTTCTATGGGAATCTGCAGACGTTTAATCCGGGGTTCTTCCTATTCTTAACAATTGATGACGCAACAGTACCGTCCATGGCGACGTTTCAAACGCATTGGGGCCGCCTGCTCCCAGTTTCAACATGCTTGGGCGAAGGAAAAATTACTAGCTTGCAGCGAGCTCGGGTCCCTGGGGTAACGTTGTGCAGTGACCACTACAAGTGACACATTTTAAGTCGTTACCATGCAAACACACAAGTAAATCAAGTATAAACCGCATGTAACCAATTTGGTGAGCGACGAGACAAGCGACGGCGACCCTCTTCATGGTTGCTAGGTGAGTCGCACGACGAGGCAAACCACATGAAAACAACGGGAGCAAGCAACCAAGGCGATGAGTGACGTTTTCTAGAAATCCAGAAACCGAGCGACATGACGAGCGACAGTGAGAAATCCCCATCGCTCGTCACTGACTCGGGTTGCTAGTCTCGTCGCTCTCTAAATTGCTTACATGCGGTTCAACCGTAACAGCTGCGTGCAGTGGTAAACAGCCACCCGAACAGGTTATTGTGCGGGGCTGCGGGATTTGTACTACTCAGACACTCTACCGCCCCCCACTGGAGGGCGCCATGATATGTTCAAAGCTTCAGAGTAGGAGGCCTGTGCCACCTTGGTGACAGCTGGCAAGTGCTGCCATCTATCGGCAATCTAAAAAAGCTTTATCTCTCCTCACTGGAGGTCACCATGCCGCAAAGTATGGTGTGAGACCGTTTGCTGTTGGAGGCCTGTGCCACCTTGGTGACAGCTGGCAAGTGCTGCCATCTATCGGCAATCTAAAAAAGCTTTATCTCTCCTCACTGGAGGTCACCATGCCGCAAAGTATGGTGTGAGACCGTTTGCTGTTGCGTAAAAAGATTAAAGAAAAAAAGATATGTTGTCACATGTGCACGAGATGCATGAGAAGGTTAAACAAGAGTCCGGCTTAAATGACTTGACAGCTTAGAGAGACGCCCTGCCGTGCTCATGCTGAACGAATTAAAATGAAAAGTATTGAAGAGCGGCCAGTGACCCTCTTCAAAGCGACGTTGGTGAAAAGCGAGCGCACTCACCGTGGTTCAGAAAGCTCATGATTACATCCGAATCGTTGATGACCCGAAGGCTCTGGTTGTTGGTTAGGAATTCGTTGTGCGCCTTGGACGCGTCTAGCTTGATCTCCCCGTCGTCCTCGTCTTTGAACGAGTTGTACAGGTCGAGCAGATAGCGGGGAGCCGAGTACTTGCGTTCGTGTAGCTTGGGTTTTGGTCTTTGGTTGAAGCCGAGCAGGTTGAGGATTTCCTGCTGCATTTCCCGCTTCTCGGACTTGGGCAGTGTACGGTAGATGATCGTTTGGTCCATGCCATTGTCCGCGTAGTAGCCGGCCAAGCAAATTTGCAATGATATAACGATAAGAGTTATGCAAAACAATGTCCAAGTTTTCAAACGCAACCAACTCATTTTTGTTTTGTTTTGGACAAGCGGAGCAGTGTGGTTGGATTCGTTGGTAAACCAAGTCAGACGCGGCCAAAATTTATGCGGAAATTTCAAGCCAAGTTCTTGGAACGTACAAGTAATTTATATTAAAAAATTCAAAATCACGCATTATATTTTAGTTATAAACCCTTTATAACTTTCTTAGATTATTTATTTTTCAGAATTTACAAAACGTAAGATTACTCCTTCGTGTCATTTTGTCCGTTGCCAACGCCACCACCGATTAGAAAGGCGCGCGAAAACGGCTGGGCCGGCTGAGCGATCAAAATCAGTCGCAATGAATAACAACCATAACAACTTCGGTGATACATTTAAAATCTTTGGTATTTGAGTACTTCGCGCTGTGGATTTTTACATTGTGTGGAAGACGCGATGATGGCAGCAGAAGAAGTGAACTTTAATTTTCCTTTCGAGCCCTATCTCGTTCAGCTCACTTTTATGAAGACGCTGTACAAGGCGCTGGAAGACGGCAAAGTCGGCATCTTCGAAAGCCCCACCGGAACCGGCAAGTCGCTTAGCATCATTTGTGCCTCCCTCGCCTGGCTCAAGGAATTCAACAGCCGGAACAAAGCGTCGCTGGAGTCCGAAGTAACCGAACTAACTCGGCAAATCTCGCTCCCCGCCGATGCCGAGAGCGATTGGATCACGAGAGATGCCGAAAACATCGCACGAAGGTGTCGGTTGAGGGACGTTCAGATCATTCGTGATGCCCTCCTCAAGAAAGAGAAGAAATACGAGGACCTTAAAGACAAGGTTAAAAGAAGAATGACTGAACGTGCTCAAGAGAGACTGGACTTGTTGAGCAAAGATGTCGATAAGGAGTTACTGGACATCAGTCAACTTCTCGCCGACCAAAAAAATGACGATAGCCAGGACGACGAGGTCCCAGATTACCACAGCGACGACGAAGAGGCCTGCAGTGACGAAGACGATGACCCTGCGAAAGACCTGCCCTTTGCGAAGATAATTTATTGCAGTCGGACGCATTCCCAGCTTTCTCAGTTCGTCAAGGAACTGAAGAAAACCGTTTACGGCGAAGACACCCGGACCGTCTCCCTCGCATCTCGAAGCAACCTATGCATCAACGAGACCGTAACGAAGCTCGCGAGTCTGTCCCTAATGAACGACAAGTGTCTGGACATGCAGAAGAAGTCGTCCGCTAAATCTTCGACGGACATGCCAGAGTGCAAACGTGCCAAGCGCTCGGTCTCCACAAAGTGCCCTTTCTACAGGCACCAGGCCATGGAGGGTTTGGCGAACGACATTCTCGTCGAAGTGCAAGACATAGAACAGGTTGTGCACCACGGACGGCGAGTCAAAGCGTGCCCGTACTATTCGTCGCGTTACGCGACTCCAGATGCAGAGCTGGTACTTATTCCGTACAACATTCTTCTCCAGCGGTCGGCACGAGATGCGTGCAAGCTCGCGTTAAAGGGCAACGTCGTAGTCATCGACGAAGCACACAACCTCCTAGAAACCATCAACGACACACACAGCGTTGAACTGAGATTATCAAACGTCGCTGAAGCTCACTGCCTGCTCAACGAGTACTTCAGTCGCTACCGTTCGAGGATGAACACAAAGAATGTGATGTACGTGAAACAGGTACTTTTCGTGCTCAGGAGTTTTATGACGTTGCTCGACGGCAAGAAAGCAAAGGGAGAGGCTGGGGAAGTCACTTCGGACATGTTCATGGTTCACGTCTTTCTCGTTGTAGCCGGCATCTCAAACATGAACTTGTTCAAGATCCAGCGTTACCTGGAACGGAGCAAGATCTCACTGAAGTTGCGATCGTATTCAAAGAAGACTGTCGTCGCTGTATCCAAGAAGCCGGGAAACTTGAAAGCTAGCAATGTGTCCACTTTCATCGACAGCCTCAAAAACGGGGGCTCCAAAAATGCAGAGGCACCGCACCCCCTTGATGAGGCACTACAGCGCCCGTCTGCTTCTAGTTCCCCTCTGATTACGGTCGAAGCGTTCATCCGTGCCCTCAACTGCTCTTACGACGACGGCCGCGTGCTCGTGAGCAAGGCAGGGGACACGGGTGGCTCGTACCTCAAGTATGTCCTTTTGAACCCCTCAAACTACTTTAAGGACGTCGTGTCCCAAGCCCGTGCAGTCATCCTGGCGGGTGGCACGATGGAGCCCACGAGCGAATTCGTTGATCAGCTCTTGATTCCTGCCGGCGTCCAACCTGAGCGCATCCTCCACTTTGCCTGCGGCCATGTCGTCCCCAAGTCGAACCTGTGCGCCTTGGCACTCTCCCAGGGCCCCAGCGGCAAGACGCTGGAGTTCACGTACCAAAACAGAGCAGACGTCGAGACGATCCGAGAGCTCGGCAACCTCCTAATCAATGTCGCCAGGGTCGTCCCCGGCGGAGTTGTCTGCTTCTTTCCCTCGTACGAGTACGAGAAGGTCGTGTCGGAGAAGTGGAAGTCGTCTGGCCTCCTGGAGAAACTCGCGGCCAGAAAACCAATCTTCCGGGAGCCCGTCAAGTCGTCCGAGCTGGAAAAGATGCTGGCGCTGTACGGCCAGTGCGCCAAGAGCAGCACCGGGGCTCTCCTCTTCGCCGTGGTGGGAGGCAAGATGAGCGAGGGCATCAATTTCTCGGACGACATGGGTCGCTGCGTCGTGATGGTCGGACTACCGTTCCCAAACGCAAGGTCGCCTGAGATGAAGAGCAAGATAGACTTTCTGAATGCGACCTACCCGCAGTCGAGCGACGGGCGCAGCGCGGGGAAGGTCTACTACGACAATGTCTGCATGAAGGCAGTCAATCAGTCCATCGGCCGGGCGATCCGGCACAAAGACGACTACGCCACCATCTTGCTGGTGGACCAGCGGTACCAGCGACCCAGCATCAGCAAGGCTCTTCCCTCGTGGATACGGGACAGCCTTGCAGCGCACTCCAAGTTTGGCACAGCATTTGCAGCCATTCAGCAGTTCTTCAGGGTGGACAGGACCAATTCTGAGTAGATTGTTTCGTTTCCTGTTTAAGTTTTTAGTTCTTTGGACAGCGAGTCATTGTGATGCTTACACCAGGAGCACAGTTCTTTCTTAGACGACAAGGAATTGTTTAGTTTGTTTTTATAATTGTTCTTTGCAGAGTCTGGCACCCTTTTTCTGCACCATTAAAGTATTTTAAGACAAGATACTGAATCAACTGTTTCAATATTGCCCTTCTGTAGCATGAGGCTTAGTGCCATGTTAGCTAATGAAAGCAAGATATTGCATAATGGTCAGTTCTCCTGCTGTCCGTGATGTGATTATAAATAATTGTGTTGTATGTTTATACAGCCGGACGTAAGTCAGCATCAGTAGGCGTCTGGTGTCTCGGCTGTAGGTGAGCAATTTGGTCAGTGCAGTACAATTGCTAGCCTGGGGTCTTTAAAGTGCACCATTCAGTAGTGTGGTACACGACCGCGCTGGTACGACGCTCATCCAGGTATAAACGGGCAGGGGTGGAGATTGAACCTAGGATCTCTGGGTTCTGCAGCGCGAGCTGTCTCTCTACGCACTCTGAGCTGTGGTGCGTCATTTGCACCAAAGCGCTTACCCTGCGACATCCTGCTACATTTTGCCAAAATGTCAGGAGTTGCCAGCAACATTGTGCCAAAACTCGTTTTCAATTTATTAATACTGAAAATATCATAAACGGGCCCCACTACATGGCTGGATTGTTACGATACGCTTGTGTGGATTTCCAAAACTCGGCTGTCGCCTCGCATAATATTGCATTCAACTTGATCTCTGTATTAACGTTGATGGTACTCGCAGGTTTCTCAATTTTACATGTGCTCGTCTGCACTTTTCACCGTGTGGTGGCGTACCGAGTGAAGCAACAATCATGTAGTGGAAGCACTGCACGGGCCTAAGTTCTGAGGGCCTTTGGGTTGGCCCAGCTTCATGCAGAGCTCTAGTAGAGGTTGCAATTTTGCATTTCTTGCTTCTCCACAGTGCACCTGCGTGCTAAGGGGAAAGCTGTTCTCTAGAGTGGAACGTTACATTTTTTTTAATATAACTGTGGCTGGTAGATACAATAGACTAATATTCTGACAATATCTTCTTCATATTCGAGATTCATCAAGGATACTTGAGTATTGTGGGAAAACTTGTATGGACTGTGCTATATATTTATTTTTGTCAACTCTCTGTTAGTTATTACCTTAATTTAGGCACCATCTGTTCAATGGCACAGTGCATACAGTAAATTAAAACTAAATTAGCTGCAGCAATAAATGCAAGCCTGGGGATACCCTGAATGAGTTCGGTGGGATTGTTTTTTTTTTAAGAAAGACTGTTTATTGTTCACGTGCCAATTTTTTATATGAAATTCTGCTTATAAAATGGCACTGATGGTCATAATTAAATGATAAAAAGCTTTGTTTTTTATTTAATTTAATAACTACAGTTTTATTACAACCATTAGAACTTTAAAGAAAACATCAATTTGGGTGCTCGCAAATATTATAGTCTAACATTTTTTCAGTGGAATATGCTGTTTGGCTTACGTTTGATTTCGTATCTAAGGTAACCATGCACAGCAGTTCATCTGCCATCGATCAGAATCTTGTTACCGTGCCTTGGGCTTCTACATGCAGTTAAACTGCTAGCTAGGGAATCAAACCTGTTGTGCAGTTGATGCCAAAGGTTGCGCAGTAGCAGGAAGGCAAAGTAGATACAAACACATGAATCTTAAGGGGGAACACTACCCAGAAAAACAATTTCTGCAAAACATGTTGACTTTTAAAAATGACTTTTACATCCACGAACATCTAGAGAGCATTCCCAGAAAGTTAATTAGTTTACACCACATAGTTAATTTTTTATAAATTATTTTCTGTCCACCGAAGCTAAAGGAAGGGTACACGGTTTGGAGCACTGACTTTCAACTTTTTGGTCTAAATTCCTCTTTAGTCAATCTATCGTTTGATAATCGCAATACAGGGAAGGCTCGTTCTTCGCTTTTCCCGACTGAAATTTTAATAAAGAATACGGCTATAGATATTTTTTGTCACTTTACGAATGTCTTTTATAAAAAAGGTTGACATTTTGTCGAAGACACAGAACCAAAAAGTTGACCAAGTTTTCAGAAGAGAAAATTTATCAAAATAAAAGACTTTTTACAAAAGATAAAAACTTTCTATAGCCGCACCCCCTAGGCATTCTGCTACATATCTAACGAATAAAAATCTTGAATATTGTGATAGTATTCTGACGATAGATGAACTAAACAATGTAGGCGTGTTGCTGATAGAAGCTCTTCTAATTTCCTTCCCATTTAACCAACAAACCTGAAATTTTGCTATGCACCTTCTAACATGACCAGCAGCCTACCCTGTAAATTTCATTAAATTTAAGGCAAGGGTTCAAAAGTTGACCCTCCCATGGGGTGTGTCCCCGTAACTTGATATTCACAATGGTATGAATGCAAATTAATTGTGTGCTTATGCTACAAAAGTACAACTTTTTCCTTCTCCAAAATGGACTTTTGGCTGCTCCGAAACTCGGACCGTTTGCATCACTGTACTGTGTTTATATAAAACAACTCTCTTTGTCTGGTGTCCCCCTTAATTGCCTAGGGTGTTTGTCAGTTTGCTCTTTTCTGCATCTGACAGCATTTATAATGGATGCTTGTTTAACTTAACAGAGACTCGTACAAATTCATATCGTTATCAGTAGTTTGAGTGGAATATAAATATATTGTATTAACTATCACATAGAGTAGATTGTTACTGGCTGTGATTTGATTGCCATGCTAAAGTGGTTACCATGTTAGTACTTTTCATCAAGATGTGACAAATTTGTGCCAAAACTTAATATCACTTTCTCAGTAGAAAATTGAATAGCTTAGACTTTTTAACATTGCTTTTCGAGTAACATTCTCTTTGGTGTGATCATTGTATAAGACACCGACAGCAGTGATTAAAGTGCTGTGTCATTTGCGCCAGATTGCCCCATGAACGAAAGTCGTCTATCGTCTATAACGATCAGTTTCTAGAGTTACAGCAAAATGGAATTTTCGCTAAGAATTGCGTAACACCTGGGCCAAGTCGGCTTCGATAAAAAATAAATAAATAAATAGTTATTGATTGGCTCCAGTATTTAGACAAGTAGGAGGAAATGAAAATGATGCAAATATGCATTTAACAACGTCTCTACTCATCGTATAGTTCGTCTCATCTTAGGTCAGAGCTCAGTCGAAGGCTCTAACACATACAACCATGAGCAGACATACTAAAAGCACAAGTCATGGGACATTCGATGCACTTGATTGGTCTTGCCGATGAAAGAATATGTATAGGAAGATTACGAATGCCATGATGTCACGCTTCGACGCTGTTGAATTGGTTTCACCAACTCGTAGCGTTGGCTGCGCTTTGACTTAGAACGAAGATTTGATGTGCTGCACGGTGATCGCCGACATTGTCTGAATTTCCAGATGATGTCGGATGTCGGTAATGTCAGGAGCTAAAAGAACCAGGGTCTTGTACTCCTTATGAGATCACTTGATTATCATGTCTGTCACATGCCTCCGTGTCGTGGCCACGGAGTACCGTGGCCACGGTAACGTTCGCATCAATCTTCACTATTTCACACCAGAGCGTGGGCATCTAGCTTCACCGCGTTGCACCGGAGTGCTAGGAGCAGCGGCTGACACGAGGAAGTGCTTGGGCTGGCGCGATGGACTCGGGAAGTATGCTCAGTTCTACTACGTGCAGCCCACTAATAACGATAGCACATATAATGATGTACCGCTTATAAAGATCAGTTTGTAGAGTTTCTAGAGTGGTAATGATCAGTTTCTAGCCCAGATACAACGATAATCGGTTCTAACGATTGAAATATCGGGTTTTCTCATCATCGTTCTACCTTCTTTGGTCTTTAATAGGGGTTGACCCTTAACTTTAGAAAGCTGTGCCGAAAAAAAAAAAAACACGCAAAAAGAAACGCGGGTCTTTATTTGAAGAAATACGGAAGTCAAGGTAGTTCCCCTGCAGCTGTCTATCTAAGGAAACACATTTCGACTCAACTCTGATTTCGACGCCACTAAAAAGAGCAATGCCACGTATAAAGTACAAGCGTGGGCTTTCATAATATCTGTGGGTGATTGTTTTTGCGGTTTATGATATTAAAGTCTTGAGTTTGGTAGGTACATAAAACTTGGGGCATGCATTTTAATGCGAAAGTATTAACTGTCCCATGGAGCGAACCGGCGTTATAAGCTTTGAAACCACGCCAAACGTTGGCCAATTGGCACCTAAAATCCCCTTTCCCAAGTGAAGCCGATTTCTGATGGATTATGCTCCCATTGGCTGGCGAGCGTCATCAAGGAACGAGGCTCCCATTGGCTCTCCTGCGGCGTAAAAAAAAAAAAAAAAAAGCCAGCAGTGGCGCGGCCGTCGGTAAGAGGAGGTAGGGAGGCTCTAGTGAGGGTGGGCGCAACTCAAAACCTGGAGAGCGTTTGCAATTTAATGGCGGCGCCAGAGGGAGAGAATTCGAGAAAGGATATGCGCCAATGTTGCCTGCGCGAGAGCAGACGCCCGCTCTGTTGCAACTCTGTTGCTTCGTGCGCCTTTCCTCCTCTCGCCTCCCATTGCATGCAACGAACGCCTTGGCGCAGCCTCTCTCGCTTTCCTCTCGCTCCGAGAATTGCAAACGTCGAGAGGAGAAAGCAGGGTTGCCAGACAAGCAGCAACGTCCAAGATGGCGGAATTTACAATTTTTCGCGTTAAAAAAAAAACTTAACCCATCGCAACAAAACTGGTGGCTATGAAAAAGTAATCATTTATACCTTGTGTAAATTATTCAATCACCTTAATGGGCTCTTATGACCTGAATTAGAAAAGAACACGATCCATTGCCCCATAGGCTCCCAGCAAAATTTAGCAATTAAATGGCGTCCATGTCCCGTGATCCCCGATCTAGCAGTTGCACCCACCGGAGCGGTGGCGGTGGCGGCAGAGCTGGCAGAGCCAGAGTCCGTCCGGGGCTCCGGGCACACTCCGGAGAGGCTGCGCAGCCGAGCCTCAGCGCGGCGCGGTCACTTCACGACAGCGCGCGCTCGGCCGTCCGCCGCCGGCAACACGAGGTCGTCCACTCAACTACGCCGCAGACAAACTAAGGAAGCGGAAGAAGGACCTTTATGCTTTCGCAT